AATTAGCATTTTCCACAGCAAGCTGCATTAACAAAGACTCTTTCGCATCAGCATTCGCTACTTGCTTATCAAGCGCTTCTTTCAATCTGTCGACAAACCGCATATAAGACTCTTGCGGCTCTTGTTTTATTTTCACATAAGATGCGACAGCTTTCCCAGTATCAGGGACTTTCAGAAGGGCTTGATAAGCTAATGTAGTTGTTTGCTGTAATATTTGTGGAGCCAAACGCGCTTGCAACTGTGGCCTATTTATAGGCGGCTCCCCCATTAATTGTGGCAAGCCCACTCCGTGCAAAGGATCCCCATCAGCCGTCTCCAAATTTGCAAGAGCTGCCACTTGGCAAGCAGATTTCCACGGTGACTCAAATAATACCATTTGTGTAGGAGTAAGTATTAAACGCGTAATTTGCCATATATCATAAGGTGTTAACTCATTCCCCAGAAATATTGCTTGTAACAGACTCTGAGTATGCGGCGCACCTAACCCATTTTGCATAACAGTTTGTCTCAAGTCTTTAATTACTTCGTAAGCAAAAGGTGAATGCTCAACTACGGACTCAGTTTGAGATGCCCGATCTCCCGGACCCTCTTGCGCAGTTAATGCTGTCTTAGCAGTTTCCGCTACGGAATGGTCTGATCTGATTTGTTTTAAGGTCTCAAACACCAGGTGTCACGAGGTTAACAGTTCTGCTGTCGTCCGATCTCCTTTTGATGCAGCATCAAATAACCTCTGCCCTGCTTCATCCCAGACAGGGACACTAAACACCGATTGTGCATTGGCAGAACAACCATGAGTTTTAAGCCAAACTAAAAGCATTCATAACGCGTGTTCTTCAACTTAACTCCCCTCTTTTGAAAGAAAGCCATTAAGATAGACACAATAGATTTTTCTTCTGTAGACATAGAGGAACCCATTGTTAGTTCTCAGTTGCTCACCTCACTCGTTGAGGAGATTGTTTTCGTCCGGACTTGTAGGCTCTCTCCCAGCTCCCCAGATTCTGCCTTCTTCATTCAGCTGAGCATCGCCACAGCTGCTCTGTTCTGCAGTAATTGCCCCTTTGTATCATGTCGGGGTCACCATTTGTGGCGATTGAAAGACACGGTCTCTGATATGCAGGATCGAAATCACCTTTATTAAGCAAGCGTGTTCTTTATATACTTTCTACCAAGGCCAGTAATTTTCTACTTTACTTGTTTACACCATCGCGTACTCTAAAAGATCATGTTCCCACTGAAAAGGGAATCCCTCTTCCCTGTGAACAGCACCTCCTTATCTAGGGAGTAGCTTCACACAACTTCATCCTCTGCCAGAACAGTGCTGCAGCTGCCTATTCCTCCCTATTAGTTCTACCACACTTAACCCTTCTTTTGCCTCAGTCCCCACAATTCAGCATTAGTTCCAGCGTGTCTGATAAGATACTTGCAGTTTCAGCAGAATGCTGTATTGTGGAGGACAGCTGTAAGAGAGAAGCTCAGGTGGAGGGCTCAAGAACCGGCAGCAGGCTCTGTATTGCCCAACTCCTACAAATTATCATTCAAATGTGGAAATGAGAAAACAGGGCCCTTTTGGAGTAAGTTGTGATAGAATTGAGAATTGATATTTCTGTCTGTGAAATATAGGCTGAGAAACACTGGTGAATGCTGTCTACGTAAACAGGTTACAGTTCTTCTCAGAAGCTGCTTTTTTCTGCTACCATGACTGTCAGATAAATGTCAATAGATACATAAATATATATATGCTTGAGCCCATAAGGGCCATCAACAGATCTTTCCTCTCCAAATAACTCATAGTCAGCTATTACCTGGGAAGCCACATATGAGAGGATAAAAAGAACTTTTATTCAGAAGCATTAAAGCAGCTATTAATAAAGCATGGACAAGGGAAAATCTGGAAACCTCAGAGAATATAAACAGTTGCAAATCATAGGCAAAGTGTGTCTTAGGGTATCCAAAGGATGTGAATAATCCATTACTTTACTTCTGACAATTCTTTCCGGATGATTAAAGAGTTACAAACTCTGATTTTCAATGCACTTGCAATTATCTTCCCAGAAACCTAACATTCATTAATGAAAGTTAATACTGGCATTTATTGTAAAACCTAGTTCATCTGATTTCAATCAGCATCTGGTATAATAGCACCCAGTATGGACAAATAGTTCACTATGAACCAGAGCTATAAAAATAGCTATAAAAAAGACCAAGAGGAAGATATATTTAAGGTGACAAGAGAATAGCTAAGAATAATAAAAGAACATGAAGAAAAGAATAAAACTGCCCGAGACAAAGCACTAGAGAATTTAGATTCAAATCCTGATCCTTTTCCTTTATGATCTACACATATGATGGTGGTGATGTATCAGGACAAGAACATGAAAGTTGTGCATTAAACTGTAGATTAATTATTTATATCAAATTAATAAGATCAATTCAGAACAAAGTTTGTTCCTAATCCTTTACAAGAAAAAAAAGCTAGATTTTTAATAATTTGATTGTATACAATTTCTTTTCTGAGAAAGTTGTAGTAATTCTTTGTGTGCTTATTTTTCTCAACAGTTCAGGACGGCAGCTAAGTGAAGTCTTCGTTCAGCTCCCATCTAGAAAAGAATTACCAGAGTATTATGAATTAATTAGGAAACCAGTGGACTTCAAAAAAATAAAGGTGAGAACGATTTTTGGGTGTGGACATTTATTTATTCCTTTTCACTATATAGAAATCTGAACATTGAGTCATCATTAAAATTATGATTATGTGGATATTAAATTTGCCTATGTTTTTTGCTTAGATTTTAAATTTTAATATACCCTTTGATATGAATTTTGCTTAATGTATTTTGCAGTATTTCACTACTAACACCTAAGCCAAAGCAAAACACAGGATGACACAAATGTTTTTTTTTGTAAAAGACCAAATACTGAATCTGTAAGCAAAACTTATTTAAGTGCAGTGGTTGGAAAATTTTTTTTTGTTGGGAGGGTTATAATCATCTTTCAACTAGCATCACATTTCTTGGAACAGCCACATTTGGATAGGTGAGGATTAGGCAACTTCTTGCACCTTAGAGGCCATGAGGAGTTCATGCCTCTCTCTTTTACCTTTGCTCACGCTGTACCTCTTTTTGTTTCTGTACTGAGAAGAAACTTGGAATTTTATTCCTTTCTTACCCACAACAATACAATTTCTGTTGCTTTTGGCCCTTCCATTTAACACAGCAACTGCACAATTTTTAGTCTGCCTCTGTCCATGATATGTTTTGTCAGCATATTCCTTGCACACAGGCTTTAAATTTTGTTTGTTTGTTTGTTTTAATCGGATACTTGCCATTCCACTTAGGTAAAATGTTTAAAGAGAAGGTTTTAATGTACTGAAAAGCAATATTAATCGATTGTCCTGTCCATTTTTTTTTTCTCTCCCCACTGCTGCCATCCATCCTTCTCCCCATCTTCTTAACAAATGCAACAGGAAAGAATTCGTAATCATAAATATCGGAACCTCAGTGATCTGGAGAAAGATGTCATGTTGCTATGTCACAATGCTCAGACATTCAATTTGGAGGGATCACAGGTCTGACTGAACCACTTTGTTTTAAACGTCTTCCCTACTCAGTGTTTTCAGTGCTTGTTTAATTATGACAATTCTGCATACAAAACTTCTATTTTTAGTCTTATTAGTGCTTTTAATGAATAAAAATGCCCAGATTCTTTGAAGCATCCAGAATCCTTTGGTCACAACTAGAATTCAAACATTCAGCACATTTAGTTTTGATTCCATAATCCTGAGATCAGTTTGTTCTGATATACATTAGGACAGTTTTCAGACTATTTGAATCTATGCTAAATGGCTGTGCCCTGAAGAGCCATCTGTTGGTTTGAGCTCACCAAACTGCATAATACAAGTAATTGAGAGAATGGTCCAGCTTAGGGACAGTTGTTAAGTGTTTAGTGGTGAAATTTTCAGCTCTACTAATGAAAGATAAAGTTTAAAGTTTGTCTGACACTAGATCTTTGTGTATATAATTCATATTCTCTGGACGTTATTGACATGGTGAGTGACCTTCTTCAGCACCTAGACATACACAAGTCTATGGGGCCAGATGGGATCCACCCGAGGGTACTGAGGGAGCTGGCAGAAGTGCTCACCAAGCCACTCTCCATCATTTATCAGCAGTCCTGGCTAACTGGGGAGGTCCCAATTGACTGGAAGTTAGCAAATACACAAGAATGGACGCAAGGAGGATCCGGGGAACTACAGGCCTGTCAGTCTGACTTCGGTGCTGGGGAAGGTTATGGGACAAATCATCCTGAGTGTCATTATGCGGCACGTGCAGGACAACCAGGTGATCAGGCCCAGTCAGCATGGGTTCATGAAAGGCAGGTCCTGCTTGACTAACCTGAACTCCTTCTATGACAAGATGACCCGCTTAGTGGATGAGGGAAAAGCTGTGGATGTTGTTTACCTGGACTTTAGAAAAGCCTTTGACACTGTTTCCCACAGCATTCTCCTGGAGAAACTGGCTGCTCATGGCTTAGATGGGTGTACTGTTCTCTGGGTAAAAAACTGGCTGGATGTCTGGGCCCAGAGAGTGGTGGTGAATGGAGTTAAATCCAGTTGGTGGCCAGTCACAAGTGGTGTTCCCCGGGGCTTGGTACTGGGGCCAGTTCTCTTTAATATCTTTATCAACGACCTGGACGAGGGGATCAAGTACACCCTCAGTAAGTTTGCAGATGATACTAAGTTAGGCAGGAGTGTCAACCTGCTTGAGGGTAGGATGGCTCCTACAGAGAGATCTGGACAGGCTGGATCAATGCGCCGAGGCCAATGGTATGAGATTCAACAAGGCCAAGTGCCAAGTTCTGCACTTGGGTCATAAAAACCCCATGCAGTGCTACAGGCTTGGGGAGGAGTAGCTGGAAAGCTGCCTGGCGGAGAAGGACCTGGGGGTGTTGGTTGACAGCCGGCTGAATATGAGACAGCAGTGTGCCCTGGTGGCCAAGAAGGCCAACAGCATCCTGGTTTGTATCAGGAATAGTGTGGTGATCAGGACTAGGAAAGTGATCCTTCCCCTGTACTCAGAACTGGTAAGGCCCCACCTCGAATACTGTGTTCAGTTTCGGTTCCCTCACTACAAGAAAGATATAGAGGTGCTGGAGCGTATCCAGAGAAGGGCAACAAGGCTGGTGAGGGGTATGGAGAACAAGTCTTATGAGGAGTGTCTGAGGGAACTGGGGTTGTTTAGCCTGGAGAAAAGGAGGCTCAGGGGAGACTTTATCGCTCTCTGCAACTACCTGAAAGGAGGTTGTAGAGAGGTGGGTGTCAACCTCTTCTCACTAGTAACAAGCAATAGGACAAGAGGACATGGCCTCAGGTTATGCCAGGGTAGGTTTAGGATGCATATTAGGAAAAAGTTCTTCACTGAAAGGGTTGTTAAGCATTGGAACAGGCTGCCCAGGGAAGTGGTGGAATCGCAATCCCCGGAGGTATTTAAAAGATGGGTAGATGTGGTAATTAGGGACATGGTTTAGTGGTGGTTTTAGTAGTGTTAGGTTGATGGTTGGACTTGATGATCTTAAATGTCCTTTCCAATCTAGATGATTCTATGATTCTATGATTTGGTAGATGACATTAGTATGTTGGAATGGAAAATATTTCTGCATCATTCTGTGATATGAATCGGATTATTTCCAAAGAACAGAAATATCTACTGAACATTTCTACCATTTCAGTATCATTACTGATAATCCTACCAAGAGAATAGCAACCAAATTTTTCTGACAAGAATAATTATCTGTATTGATTTCTCATGTGACCATTGATTTTTCCTTGCATATTTTTACCTCCCTGATCAGCTTCCAAACAATTGCAAACTTCTCAGTCATGTTTTTTGATATCAGCTTCTCTTATTTTTTCCATTTGCTTTCATTAGCAGTAAAATAGCTATAAACATCTATATCACTAAGCAAAATCATTGCCTCTGAAAAATTAGTAACATTTTCTTCCACACTTTCAATCATTAATATTTTTTCTTGAATAATTAAGCTGATTTTAATTTTTCATTTAACTGAATGTTGTTGAGCTATCAAAAATGTCTGTACAACAGACAAGATTTTATTCTGCTTGTACACAACAAAAATAATCAAGTAATGATCATTTGTACTAAACAACCCCTCATTTTTAATTGAGTATTAGTTTTTAAAGCATGAAGTCCAAATAACTTGTACCTATGATTTTTAAAATTTCTCTCTGAGACATTCTCTGTACCATTGATTTTGATTCTTGGGACATTCGTGCAGTAGTTCTCAATTTTTTAGGTTTTCTTTTATTGTGTGTAATAGTTTGGATCCACTTTTGCTCTGACACACATAGTTATATCATTAAAATATAATATTTATGTGTCCACTACTTACATTAAAAGATACAAACCCATAAGTTTAATTCAGACAGAGATATTTAAGTACACAATAAAGTAAATTTTAAGTGAAATGCTTCATATTTGTTTTATTAGTATGATGCATGCTCCTCTATTTTTTTTTTGAGGAAATCATTTCCATCTGGTCTGGAGGCTTAAAAGTTACTTCCGGGAAAAGACAGATCTTATATAGTGTGTTCAATTTAACCAATGTATTGCTTCCAAAGTTTTACAGAGCAGTATGTGCAAGGTCATTTTAAGATGTTTTTAGTGTCTCATTATTTTTAAATTTTATTTCTGTTAAATTAATCTTGCAAATACATTACAAGACAGATGTAGTTCTTTCATTCATAGATGTTCTTCCAATGAGATTAATACAAAAGCTGATAGTACCAAAAATACTTTACAGGCTTCAAAATATTAATAGAGTTTTGGATAAGCATTGATTTTCAGTCTTTTTGGATCTTAAAGGAAGGAGTCTTAAAGGAATCCCAAAGCTGCTTGGGATAAATTATTTTCTTTTTTACCCACTTTGGATTTTGGAACAACAGTTTTTCAAGGCTGTTATGATCTAATTAAGATATATCATAGTTCTAGTGGTAATAAAATAATAATGAAAGAAAAACAATTGCATTCCAGGATGGACTCTTTCTCTAATTGGATGTTTTAAATGTGATACATTTTAAGAGTTGTATTTTTGTGGCTCACTGTTGGCCGGATTCTTCATTTAAAGCATGAAAATTCAATATTGGCATTTTTTGTAAAATTCATGAAACACACATTCTTACTTGTAATAAAAATGGTATGTTCCGTGAGTTTATATAGGGGAAAAAAGTGAATTTTTTATGATGCTTGGCTTGGAGTTCTGACATAGGTTTGTTTTCATACTGTAGATCTATGAGGATTCCATCGTTCTTCAGTCTGTATTCAAAAGCGCACGACAGAAGATTGCCAAAGAAGAGAGTGAGGATGAAAGCAACAATGATGATGATGATGATGAAGAGGAGTCAGAGTCAGAATGTAAGTTCCCTGCTGAATGCTGAGAAGGAAATACATTTAGGGAAGAGGGGGGAATTGATTTTTCCATTTGTGTACTGAGACTGGTTATAGACTTTAATTTTCCACTGGTGGAAGTAGTTTCTTATAAAGTTTGCTGTTTTGGCTGCTTCCATTCAACTTAAGTCTCTTGGCTACTCTATTCCAGCTATATTTCTTAGAATTGTACTGAAGACTTCAAGTATATATAAGCTGGAAACAAAACACAGTAGGTGCTTTTAAGCACTGCTCAGATGGAAACAGCTCTGACATCTTTGACTGACCATGACTATATGTGGACCCTTCTTTTCCTGATCATGTTGCTTGTAAATATAAGTGCCTAGAACTAGTGACTTCCTTAATCCATAGGCGAGCAACCTTTCTGATATTATGTAACATATATGATTGAGAACCAGAAAACATTACTTCGGTGAAACAAAGGGAAAATGGAGCTCAGACTGTTTGGTAAGCAGGAGATGACATTCATAATTTAAGAGGCCGAGCTAATATGCTGTGAGATGGGCCCAGGCTGGGCCAAAAATTCATCTGAGATCTAGGGCATGCTGCAGGTTAAGTTGGAGCATCTCTTTTAAGAAGTGATACTCTCATCTCTTATTAAATTATTCTGATATAATTTGTTATCTCCATTGGTAAAAATGTATGTCTTTTATTTCCAATTTGAATTTTAATTTGCTGCATCTCTGCTATTCCACAGAATTGCCAGTAGGTTCACAACACACTGATGTCAAAAAAATGACTATAGAAAGAGCCAGATCTACATATTACCTTTCAGCTCCCCTGATCAATTAAAGATTCCTCAATAGGTACCTTTTCACATAACCTCTGAACTTGAAGTCCCTGCAAATTTGGAAACATGATATTGTGGAAAAAGAGGGATCCCTTCATTCTGCTTTCTGCTACCCAAGTGCTTCTACCCCATACATTCTGACTACCTAGAACTGCACTTTGAAAGTGTGTCTGGATAGAGAAATTAGAGTACTTTTGTCTTGAGCTACTCTGCAAGTATTACAAGCAGCTATGCAGAGCATGCAACTTCAGCAGTTCATCTAGAAATGAGCAGATACCCTGGAACTGGGCGCTTGTGTTCTCTTCAGTAAGCTGTCAACTCAAAAATTGCCAGTCACCTCCACATGGAGTTTGTGTAGTTAAAAAAAAAAACAAAATTGTCTGTTCCTACTGAAGGTAGACATTTTTCTATGTGCAGGTAACAAAAACTACTTTATTTCTTAACATGCATTTTCTTGTACAAGGTTCCCTGAGTGTAGTTGCAACACTAAATGCTATGTGTAAGTGCCATGCATTCTAAAAGTGAAAGAAGGATGCATCTGATGAACTCTCAGATTTTCTTGATAGCTTAATGCAAATTAGTGCTGCAACTATCAAGAACACAAGTAAAAGTAAATATCTCTACTTAATTCCACAATCCAAACAAAGAACAGAAAGAGGATTTTTTCAGGCTACAAGGGGAGAATTTACATGAAGACAGACTATTTAAGTTATTTAGTAGGAAAAGGGTATACAATAAATAAAGGCAGATGTTCCATTCACATTCCACTTTTTACAGCAAAGTCAGTGAAAGTCAAAATCAAGATGAACAAGAAGTATGAAAAAAGCCAGGACAAAAGCAAAAGCAAGAAGAGGCAAAGCCGAGTAAAAGCCAAGCCTGTTATGAGTGACAATGACAGCGATGAGGATCAAGATGAAAACGTAAGTTTTGTTCACTGAAATTTTAGAAATGGTTGCAGTGATTTCATCTATACCCTGTCCTGTTTGCACTCAGAATTTTCACGTCTTCATGCTTAGAAACATTAAGCATTGTTTTTAATGTGCGTCATCATCTTGGGAGGATGGGGGAGCAGGTTCAAACTGTGTTAGAGTTTGCTTGTGGGATCTGGTTTTGGTGCTGGAAGACAAAAAGTCTGACACTTTTGGCACTTATTTTTTTAAGATGTTCTTTCTTTCTTTGAAACTTTAAACCTCATAGTTTATTTGCTTTCATTCCCACCCTAGAAACACTTGGTTTTAATTTCTCATAGGTGTTTCTGTTAATGCAACAAATGAAGACAGATCTTTCCAGACATCTTTAAAACACCTGGGTAGACAGAAGGGAGCTAGTGTTTCCTGACTCTGTCTTTTCTTTTCTAAAGAGGCCCACAGCAATTTAATTGGAATGAAATGTCATGAGAGGAAAATAGTAAATAACATATTACTTTTCTTAAGGCTATCTTAATTTGTCAATTTAATTGTAATTCTTCTTTTTTTTCTTTAACAAAATCCATAGAATACTTGGCAAAGAATTTCTGACTTTTCTTCTGTGTCTTACCTCTAGGACCAGTCAGAAGCAAGTGGAAGTGATGATGAGTAATTCACAAAGTTTATTTCCTTGGCAGAACTGACTCCATCCCCTTCCTTTCTCTCATATTACAACCACTGAATTCACTTTGTTAAACAGACATTGGGTTGTATTCTCATAATAAACTAACTCTCATAAATTAGCTCTAGGATAGTGCCTGACAAACATATGATATCACAGTGTAAAAAAGGAAAAAAAGTAACATACTGTGACCGAACGGGCCTCAAAGATTTTTTTTTTAAAAAATCTCCAAAGCAACAAAAAAGCTTTTGATGAAAAAGTTTGCATCAATAGTATAATTCTCTGGGTTGGGTTTCCTTGGTAATGGTTTTCATCATGCCTGGTTTTATCATTTGATGTTTTCAGTGTCATCAGAAAGATAAAACAATGTCTTTTGTAGCATTGATAGCCAGGAGAAGCCATAAAAAGCCACTGGTTATTTTATTTTTCATCAGGCAGTTTTCTGCTCTATTGTTTTTTTACACTGTGGTGCATATATGCAACTTTGTTTAATAGCTTATAAATGTATAGTAGTTAGCCTTTACCTCACTTTGTCCCATATACATTTTTTCACTTTATGCTTGTTGATCTTCAGAAAAATGCTTTTTTGAATTGTAGCAAATTTAGGTGTACTGTAAACTTTGCTAAACTTTTCTCCTCTTGATTAAAAACAATGGGTTGAAAAATGTTGTAGAATATTGCAGTCTATATAGTGTAATGAATGGCTTCTTTCATCAAACTGATCTTCTGTGTTACCAGTGTGAATTCTCACCTTTTCCCAAAAGTGTACTTAATCTTTGCTTTCTTTGCACAATGTCTTTGGTTGCAAGTCATAAGCCTGAGGCAAATAAAATTACAGTAATTTTGAAGAATGTTGTATTGGTGCTTTCCTAATAAAGGGATAATTTCTCTCAATAAACACAGCCTTGTGTTATGAATTCCACAAAAATCCTTTTTACTATAGTGACAAGCGTGCCTCTTGTAGAGAGATTCAAGGTTCATCTGCTCTAAACAGGTAACATGAGAGCTTGTCTGAATTCCATAGGAACATCCTCAAAGAGAGATACAAGACAAGTGACAGCTATTAAAAGATACCTTGAAATGGAAGCATAATTCCAGTCCCTAACTAGAATTCAAGTGATTAATCAATAAAACAAACATCGATGTTCCTTTTTATTTTTTTTAGGAAATGTTTCTGTCCATATGTTTTAGTGGGAGTGAATACAATTAGTTATGTAGGCAGTCATCCCATCTATAAATTAGTTTATTGTCTTCGTTGTGAAGAATCCGATCATGCTTTCCAGGACTGAGATGCACTAAGAAGTGTGTCCTGGTTTGAGGTAAAACAGGACCAATTTTGTATAGTAACTTTGCTTCTTAGCCGGGCCTCTTCTAACTACTGAAATTAATAGCATGTTGTGCAGACACTGTTTGCTCTCAGAGTGATAAGACCTGTGTTTATAGTTGATGCCCAGGCATGGTATGCGGAGAGGACCTTGCTTACACTTATTGCTATAACACCCAAGGCCAACCAACTTTGTTATTTGCCCCGTTGGAGGGTCGGAAGCAGAAAAGCACAGTGGGGTCGCACCTGCAGGGAGGAGCGGACAGGACAGGTGACCCAAAACTGACCAACGAGGGTATTCCATCCCATCTGCCTCATGCTCAGTATAAAAGCTGAGGGATCAAAGGGTCAGGGGCTCTTCCTTCAATGGCGACAACTGAGGAGGGTTCTGTTCGTCTGCCTGCCTTTGATCCTGATCCATGCATTCCTGAATCCAGCTCCAGAATTCAGCTCCCGTCTGTCACTGAGTCCAGTCTGGGACTTCCCCAGTGCCAGCCGGTGTCGTGATTGTCATCCTGGGAGCTTGATACGGTTTTGTATATATTTCATTATTTTCTTTTTATTTTATTATTAATATTTCATTAAAGTAGTTTAGTTCCTTCTAAACTCATAAGTCTCTCTTTCCTGGGGGGGAGCATCTGTCGGTCCCATCTGGGATGCCCCACATCCCCAGTGGCCAGTTTGGCCTAAACCACGACAATGTGGTAACGTAAAGAGACTACAAGTAGGTAACATCTACACTTAATATTGCTGTTACTTCCTGTAGAAACTCCAGATTCTCACATTCTAAATATACAATCAATAATAAATGTTGTACACCTAGAACATTTCTTAAACTGAAGATTTCTAAGTTACATGAACCATCTGTTTCGAAGTATGTATCCTCACTGTTAAGGATGTTATGGGAGCTGTCAAACCTAGAGGACTCCGGGACTTGTGAATTCCTCCTTCCTGGCCACTGAAGTCCAGCTGGTGCACTCTAAGACCCACTCTAAGATGTGGCTGCTGCTGTCCACATTTGCAGGTTTGGCCAGTAATGGGGCTGAGCATATATTCCAAAGGCACATACACATACATGGGATACTAACACAGGTGGCCACACAGAGTATAATTGACAGAATCATAGAACCATAGAATATCTTGAGACACAACTGGGACAGCTGGCCCAAGCTGAACAAAAGGATATTCCATGCCATATAATGTCATGCTCAGCAATAAAAACTGAGGGGAGGTGGAGGGGGTGGTTGGGGAGGCGGCCATTGCTTGGGATACCGAGCTGGGTACCGGTCTACTTGTGGGAGGTGGTGTGTGATTGCCTTCGTATCACTTGTTTTGGTTTTTTTTTTCTTTTATTTCTTCTTCCCCTTTCCTTCGCTTATTAAACTGTCTTTATCTCAACCCATGAGGAGCCGGAGTCAACCCACCACATGCCGTATTGCCTTTTTGGCTTCAAGAAGAAAAAATAAATTAGCACAACTAGAGCATCAGCTGCCATTTTGGGGGGAGGCCTAGAATTTGACTTTAATGAATTTGACTTTTTTTTAGACTGAGAATCTTTATTTAGGATAAAAATAACATTAAAAATTACTTTCAAGTTTTCCTTTTTATTTATCAGTTTTAACAGGAAATGTAACACTCATTGAAGCAACACTGCTAAGCAATGTTGAGATAACTTTGCATGGGGCATTGAAACAGTCACTTCTCAATCTGGTTTCTGTCTACTCCAGAGGTCTCCAAAGTGGGGTGCGCGCACCCCAGGGGATGCCCATGATGATCCATTGGTGTGCAGGAAGAAAATATTAGAACTTCTACTTACATTCATTTATCTAAAACTTTAAGAAAGAAGTTAACCTTTACTAATATCTAATATATGGATTGACACTGGCGCACTCACTCAGTCCGTATGTCAGACGGTTATGTCAGGTGCTATACGCAAGGTATCCTGGGGGAAGAGTGGGTGGGCATTCCACAACACAGAGGGGTTCACAGTGGCACCCTCATTCATTTGTTCTCTTTCAGCATATTGCGATATATTGCAGTTTACGTGTGCCCAGTTAAGTGGATGTACAGATTATATTATCAAGTTTTAATTAAACTAGCCCTCACAGAATGGACATGTGGCTTAAAAAGATTCCTGCAAAGAAACCGCAGATTGAAGATAATACTAATAATGCTAGCACAAGCAAACTACAAGAAAATGGCAGGGCTGATACTCCTAGTAGGAGTAATCTTTGTCAGCCACATTATGAGGTAAAAACAATGACAATCTAATCAGATCTGACAAGAAGCTGGCCAAGAAAATTCAAAATTATCAAGAAGACTATTTGAAATATGGATTTGCATCCACTATCATCAATGTTGAACCTCGCCCTAAATGTATATTGTGCCTTGAGATATTAGCTGATGATAGCATGAAGCCATCACGATTAGCAAGACATTTAAAAACTAAGCGTCCAGAACATGAAGACAAACGTCTGCAACTTTTTCAGCGATGTTTCAAATCATGTGATACTCCCACATACACTTGTTGTTCCTGCCGTGGTAAAAATGGCTGAAATAGTACACAGAAAACAATATGGCAACAAACTAAAATGCATGCCTTTGTCACCAAATGCCGTTGGAAGATGCATAGAAAGCATTACTGAAGATCTGAAGAAACTAGTATTAGAGCAACTTACGCAGTGTGGGAGGGTTGCTATGCAGTTGGATGAAAGTAGAGATGTTTCTAATGTGGAAAGAGGGTAGATTTAGAAAGAAGGTAGATTTAACTGGAAGAGGGGAGATTCAGAATAGATATCAGGAAGAAATTTTTCACTATGAAGGTTGTGAGGCACTGGAACAAATTGCCCAAGGAAGTTGTGGAGGCCCCATCCCTGGAAGTGTTCAAGGCCAGGTTGGATGGGTCTTTGAGCAACCTTGTCTAGTGCAAGGTGTCCCTGCCTGTGGGAGGGGGGTTGGAACTCGATGGTCTTCGAGGTCCCTTCCAACCTAAACCATTCTATGAGTCTATTTCTCAGCTTACGGTATTTGCTAGATTCTGTTTCAAGAATGAAATACACAAAGAACTACTTTTTTTGTGAGCCACTTAAGGAAAGATGCACTGGAGAAGATACGTTCCCAACAGTAAATGACTTCTTTAATAAAAGCAATGCTTTGTGGAAAAAGTGTGCAAGTGTAACCACCAATGGAGTGGCTGCTTTGACTGGAATAAAGAAAGGATTCCGCGGTAAGGTTACAGAGATGATAGCACCACACGTGGAACTCATTCACTACATCATTCATAGGCAAGCTATTGCAGCAAAGATGTTGGAGCCAGAAGTGCACAAAGTTCTACACCATGCCATCAATGTGGTTAAGTTTATAAAAACAAGACCTGTAAATAGTAGAATATTTACAACACTTAGTAATGAGATGGAGAGTGACCATGGAAATCTTTTTTACCACACATAGGTTTGCTGGTTATCTCATGGCAAAGTGTTTAAAAGAGTTGTCGAACTTAAAGATGAGTTATGCATTTTTCTTTCACAGAAAGACAAGTGTTCCAAATTTGCTGACCTTTTCTGTGATGACAAGTGGCTGCCAGTAGTGTGCTACCTAGCACTTATTTTTGAAAAAATAAACACACTTAATGTGTCTTAAGAGTGAAGGTAACGTTTTAACATGGTGT